ACACAACTTCTTAACACGTGGCAGAAAACCCCACTGCCTTGAGCAGCCATAGTTTGCTTTCTGGCGCTGATGCTTTTCCTTGGCAGCTTTAACTAAGGCAACTTCGTGTTTTGTATAAGGTAGAAAGCCATGAGAGCGGATAAAGTCTTTCAAGCTCAAACTGCCCTTATACTCTACAGATATAATGTTAAAAATATGAGATATAAAATGCAAAGGAGCTGCTGGCAATAGCCCAATGTCCCTTCTCACATCACTTGAGTCACCTTGTGTAGAAGAATTCTTTTAAAGACAAGGAGTAGATAACCTCCCTCACCAGGTGAGAGTTAAATACTTCTAAAAACATGAAGAAAAATATCAACATAGAGGGATTTTGCATTTTCCTCTAAATAATTTGTTGCTTCATATACGGAGCAGCAAAGTGCATAACCCAACAACCTGGCCTGGCTGAGGAATTCCATATGCGGTGCTCGCAGCTTTGGGTTTTAACTCACCCCACATAAAGCAATTCTGAAGAGATATCTGAAAGATTCCTCAGCTTGTTTTTTTCCTAACACCTTGTTGTTGTTGTCAGACTGTTGTTGTTGTTGTCAGACTTTATTGATTTTCTGGTTTTAGAAGCCTCAGCGCTGTGCTCTGATCCTCACGCAGCTGCTTTGCATACGAAGATTAAATCTTACAGAGGAAGCTGGTGTAATTGCTATTGCTCTCACCTGTGCCATGCTATAATCTTCTAAATTGGTCTGAAAGCTCACTTGTCTGAACGGAAATAGCCTGTATTATTATCGCAGATCACAGCAAAACATTAGCCTTAACCTTCATTTTTCTGCAGATTTTATCATGGCAATTCCAGGCAGAGAGCGTTTGTAAGAGAATAACAAACACCGCCACGCAGCAGAATTAAAAAGGTTGAAATATGGGAATCATGCTGCACAAGTGCAAAGTCCAGGCTGCTTTGGATCCTGGACATCCACATTTTGGCATAGGTTTCCAGGGTGGTCTAAGAGCTGTCGCCTGGAAACCTGCTCTAAACTGCTCCCATTGGAGGGTTCCTATTACTGAGCGCTATTTCGCTGCCTAATTGCAAGACTGAACGTTAAATAAGGAACTAAAGGACTAGATCACCACTGCCTGCTCTTTAATTATCCATCTATTCAGTGCTATTACTTTGCCCAGACCATAGCAGTATCTCTGTTTTGTAAATTTATATTCACTGTAAAGTGTGCATTACATTTACTTGATCCCCTTTGTTCATTGCTATTTATAAAAGAAGTTATTTTTATGTGGGCTCCCTGTGTTTGGAGCTGTTGGAGATGCTTCTTCTCCAGTGACTACTTCTTTGAACCTAAAACCCCACTTGTGTGTCCTGTCAGTCACTCAGGACACCAAAACAAGTCATTTTGGTGACCAGTCCCCTGGTCCCAGGGGGAATTCATCATCAGTGACCCCAGCCTACTCACATCCCATTTGCATCCTGAATACCTCATCTCATCTTGAAGCATCTCCTGGCAAAATGCAGCTCTTGTTATATGGATTTCCTCTCTTATGGAGAGGCTTGTCTACATTTTCTAGCTACGGTGCAACAAAAGGTGGTGATTAAACAATTATCCACACCAATAACTCTGAAGCTGAGGAATTCCTCCCCACCACCAAATGAGATTTACTCACAGCAATCTTACTGGGCATCTTTCATCTTAAAACCAAAACAGAACCGATGCCCTTTAATATATAAGCGCTGGTGTCCTCAAAAAGACTTGAGCATATGCAAAATTGCAGCCCAAGGTGTAACTACAGCTTGTATCCCTGTGTGTAATTTAGCTCTGTATCAAAGCTGGCCAAAGTACGCCTCTGAGGCTGCACACATCATACCCATCACCCAGGTGACAGCATGGCCACCAAAACCCATCATTTCCAGGTCAGAGCCACCTCACAGCACTGGGTCTGTGGGTCTTTAAGGGCTCCTGGGTCATCTGAAGTCCCCAGGTGTGGGAAGAGCTGATGGAGCAGCATTAGCGAGGCTGATGGGTTGCTCCATAAATTAGCCCTGCCCTGCCTCATCCTACCCCATGAGACCCAGGCTTTGAGGAGAAGACTTGTACCTTCTTCTCCGTATGAGTTACAGCAAAGAGGAGAAGGATCTCAGTAAGCAACAAGAGATTTGTAGAGGTGAGAGGGGCATCATGATGTGCACTCAGTGGAATGGGAATTATGTGCTGAACAACAGCCTGGAATAGCACTTTTGTCCCCTGGCAAAGCGATATGAGGTTAACTGGGCCTTCTGAAAATACAAGTATGCTAGAGACACATGTAGACCTCTGTCTTGGTAAGATGAGGGTTGGTAAGTCCAAGTTTTTTTGGTCATTTAAAGTCAAGATCCTTGGGAGTGCCACCCTTGCAAATAATTAAATTTTAATACTTTATTAGTGCTCATGGTATGTGCTGATGCTGCCAGAATGGATTCATATTCCTGTATCGCCTCATGGCTCACAGAGGTGTGGTGCCAATAGCTAATTTAATAATCTATTAATTCTAAAGCTATTAATTAAATCTTAATTCTGGCTCATTGTTTAATTAAGCCTGCTAAGCTCAGCAAGAAAAACTGGCAGCTGAGTTTCAGTTCCTCCAAGGCTATTAGACCGAAAGAAAAAAAAAGGCGCAGAACCACGGTAAGTTAGTCTAGAGTTGAGCTTAGAGACAGAAAAGGCTCTTGAAGCAAAAGGAAAAGGCATAGCAGAGCTCCACTATCCAGAGGAAATATCTGAATTACGGTGCCAGGTTCTCTGCTGCAGCAAAGACCTGTATGGCACTGCTTATTTCAACTCGGGTCAACCAAAACTAACAATTCAGCTGCCACAAAGGCCAGTGCACTCAAACCTCACTCCTGGTAACCATAAAAAGGAATTAAAACAGCAAAAATATCCCTGCACCAGCACTTTTTCTGAGCATCCCATGCAGGATTTGGTCTGTCCCATGCCTTGGTCCCCCTGGCCCCATCGTAAATCTGGCCAGCGTGTGATATTGGAATTATAATGACAGGTTGGAAGTAATGAGGCTAATGATAATTAGGTGTGTCTAAGTCTTAGCTCCACCCTGTGCAGAGTGCCCTTAGACAGGTTAGGTGGCTTTTGGGCATCAGTTATCCTGTAATAAGATTATGAACCCGCCATGCGGGTGTCAAGGGAAAGAAGGGGTCGCAAGAAGGAGCGAGAAGGTGATGTGGGATGTTTTAGTGACAATGAAATGTGGCATCCTTTATAGTGACTGAAACAGCAGGAGAGGGTAGAGGAGCAGCTGGGCTCCCACATGCAAGGAAATGCAGGTGGAAAGCATTGAAACAAGCAGTGCAAAAGAAATGGGTGAAACGTGTTTGGGGAGGCTTCATTTTTAGGAACGAAGTTAATTCTCAGGCATACACTTGAAAGGAAGAAAGGAATAATTTGCAAGTCATCTTCAGCAGCTGAAAATCACTTTCTGGATCCCATTGTGCAACGAGATTATTGCTGAACTTCTTGAACCGCTGAACTGGATGAGGTGGAGATGAGTCAAGACCTGGTCTTTTGGACTGGAGGCTCCACCCTGTGGATGACCTCATTGCCAAATTTTTCACAACACCTTTTTGGCAATCAACAAAGCTTCAATCTCTGCCCTGCCTCCCAGCTTATCTGGGGTGTGACACAGACACCGTTCACAAGCTAAGCTTCTAAGATATAGTAATTACGTCTTCGTATCGGATCAATAAAGTAGGGCACATGCTAATGTCTGCAAGATAAACGAGCAGATTGACAGCAGTTCCCATCTGGTACAAGAAACAAATGAAATATATAGACATCAGATATTTGAAGGGCTCATTTTGGAAGCAGATGGACAGGGAAGGAAGGGAAAATGCATGGGCAGATATCCGGGAGCAGGCAGCAGATCACCGCGAAAGGGATCTGCATGGCTTGCTTGGAGAATGAGGTGCACACCCTGGTGTGCATGGGCATCTGCATCCACCAGTGAGGGCAAATTGTTCAACACCAGCTCTCAAGACTCACCAGCTCGATAATGGGGAATTAGAGTTTAGCCAGCTTTCATATTTCAGTTTTAGGGACAAGTTTATCTATGAATTTTATTTCGCTTCTATTAAACTGGGCTTTCAGCTTGCAAAGACTGGCAGAGGTCCCCAGTCCTAATTGCAGCATTGCTCTTCTTGGGACCAAAAGAGCAACGCTTGTGCTTAAAATGTGTGGAAACCTTTAGAGGAACAGAAGAATTTTATTGCGGGGGACAAGTGGGGAGCAGGGAGTGGCTGGTTTTGTTGTTCCTGAACCAAAGTAAATACCAAGGAACACTTCTCCTCAGGGTGTCATTCCTTTTCACCTCCTCACTGCTTTGCAGCTGACACATCAAGCCATGAACCAAACCACAAGCTGTGTTTAACAGGATGAGGAGCAAGGGAAAGCTGTGGGGTGAAAGCGAAAACGAAACAGTCCTGTGTAAAGGATGAGAATGGGGCTGAGGGTGCAAGAGGGAGCTGATGACTTTATGACTCTGAGGATGAGCAGGACTCAGACTTGGTTTTAGACTCATGCTTGCTCCTCTCTGTGGAAATCTTTAGTAGAAGGCAAAAGATTTATACAATCTGAAGAGACACTGGAGTTTTGATGTTTCCTATCTAAATTTCTCCCGTAGGCACCTGAAAATCAAGAGTGGAAGAGAAAGAAAACAAGAAAACTACCATGATAATGCAGAATAAATTTAATGGGAAAGGAAAGGACAGAACAAGACTGCCAGAATAAATGATATAGTTACAGATGCAGATTCTGTCACAGGTTAACACAAAGTAGAATAAGGAGCTCTTTATTATTATAATTACTTGCCTGAGGATGTAACTGAAGAAAAAAAAAAACCCTATGAATTTAAGTTTAAGCACAATTTAAAGAAGACATAAGTAAGTGTGCTTTAGAGAGGCAGGAGGCGTCTACGAGGCCTTTGGTCTTGGTCATTGGGGTTGATATCACACGTTACTCTTCTGAGGTCTCTTCATCCTCATTTTCTGTAGCCGTATCTTCAGCTTTTGGCATCTCCTCCTCTGGTGCATGCTCTTCCCTCTCGCTCTCGGATGTTTCGGAGCGTCTGTAGCCAGGTCTACTGCAAGGGTGCATCCAGCGGGAAGCAAACACATAGGAGCTCCGCGGTGCACACTCAGGCACATATTTGGGGGCAAATCTCTCTGCAGGTGGCTCTGGGCGCAGGATTTCTGCTCTCAAAGAGGTCGGTGGGGCTGGTGAGCTTCCCTCCAGGACTTCAGAGCTTCCCACCACCGTCTCCTGCGGGCACGTGGTGAGGATGGGCCCGGGGAAGGTCACGACAACAGGAGGGGGGTATATAATGACTCTGGAGGCGCCGCAGGACACAACACACGGCTCATTGCAGCTGGTAGCAAAAGGCTCTGAGCATCGCACATCGCATGGGTAGAAACACCGTCCTGCATCCCCACCGAAGGACATCTGGGAGAAATGGTGAACCTGCAGCACAGAATGGAGACCACAGGAGTGTTTCTCAAAGCATTTAGCATCCCACACCTTGCCCTTCACCTCAGGGGTGACTCCTGCTTCTCTCTCCTGTCCTCCTTGCAGGGAGGGCAAGGTTTGTGTCACCATTGGGGATGGAGAAGGCACAAGAGGTGCAAGTGGAGAAGAGCACAGCTCAGGTATTTTAGTTCTGGGGACTGTGTAGATGCTACAGCAGAGACAACATGAGCCTGTGATTTCGAGAAATGAAGCTCATGGGTCAGTATAGGCTTGTCCCATTGCTGCACTCATCTCTATCTCCATCACCCTGAGTCCTTCTCCATGCTCCCAAAAAAGGACCTTTAGGACATCCATCCCATTTTATCACTGCCATCTCTTGCTCATTTCCACCTCTGCAGCACCTCTTTTCCCTCTCCCAATTACAGTTCCTGTCTGGGCAGCCACCAAAGACAACTGGAGTGGTTGTAGACAATTGCAGATGTGACCAGTGACTTCAATGTGACCAGTGACTTCAATGTAACCAGTGCTGGTGCCATGAGGTTACTGATCAGACTGGAATGGGGACCTGATATCCCTGTGCTTGCCTGGGATTGTTTATCTCAGTGATAGAGCACGCCCAGCCCTCATTAGTTTAATCACGTGTAATTGGATTCCCGTGCCTCTGCTGAGGTTGTGCTGGGCACCATACGGGTGTAAAGCTACAGAGGAGCTGTGACCCAAGAGGTCTGTGCAGACTCCCTGTCTGACAGAACTGGGAGGAAAAACCATGGGGACTGGTGTGCAGGAGGTGCAAGGACCTGATTTTGGTGTCATTCTGCATTCTAGTCCATAACCCCCCGGAAAACCTTGCCTTCAGGTACCTCCAGAGGGTTTGTAGAGAACATTCACAGCCAAGACAAGAGCTCCGTGGAGATTTTTGGCGCCTACCTTTTTGCCTACACCTTGAATCTATCTTTGAGGTTATTCAACCAGAACTAATTACAAAATCAGTGGGATTTATCTGTTAAAGTCAAAAACTGTAGATGATCACTTATAAATTAGCCACTTCATTTCTGTCCCTGGAGAAAAACAGGCTCTTGAGAGTGCAGCCAAGTTCGTTCAGAGGTAGGTGCTTAATTCAGTCATGTGAAATGCCTGTTTCCACTGATAATGATGGAAAGGTCAAGGGGGATCCCATTGCCTGTCTTGTCCAGCATTTCATGTCTGTCAATGCTCAGCATCAGATGCTGAAGTCATTGAGTATGGAAACAGTTGTATTTTTGAAGAGTTTCTTCTTCGTAATAGTGCTGGGATGTCTCAATCCACAGAATCTCCAGCCACGAACAGACCTGCAGAAAATACTGATGGAAACTGGGGAGGTATTGCTTGGTTTGGATGCAAATGTGATCCAACTGGCAGGAGGCAAGAAGACTTTAGTTCTATTTTTTCCCACTTGAAAACTAAATCTTGCTGATTTCTGAATGAAAACCTTTGGAAATCAGATTTGAACATCTCAGATCCTCTAAATTTTTTTTAAATTAAATAATACTAATGCTAATGTTGTGTAAAATCTACCTGAATAGAATTTAAAATACTTTTCATGATGGAAATTATGGAGCTGTATGCAGTTAATCGATAACAATAAAATTAGACAATTTTTTAAAATAAGAATACCAGTCCCCATAGATAAACATTTAAGATTGAACATGGTCCAAGTATAAAACTACATCATTTCTAGCAGACTTTTCTAGAAAGAATCTAATCAATATTTTTAGAAAATGCAGAGTGGCTTGCTGTTAAACCCCAGCTCCTGTTAAAGCAACCTTTTACTCAATATAATTGAGTAAAATTGATATTAATTGATATTAAAATTGATAGAATTCATCTGAATGAATGGGACTTACCCGCTTTCCCGGAAGAATTGAGAAGAAACGGCCAGAGGATCCCTGAATCCTTTGAGATTTATATGCTTTCTTGAGCTTCCAGGAAGATGAGACAACCTTTGTGCATGATGTCTTAATTACTTTCCAAATATTTCTTCCCCGCATGTGCAACACGTATAATTACTATAATTATTTTAACATTGTTTACCGACATTATTCAATTTTCTCCGGTACATACTGATACATGCTGTGGGGCTCCCTTCACATTATATCTTCACGGTCTGAATTAATTGCTGATGTGATCCTACCACTTCTCTCTGTATTCATGTGGCAATGCAGAGTTTGTTCCTCTTTGAAACATTGACCGTGTGAGCGGTGGCTTGCAGCTGTGTGGCTCCAATCACCACACGTGATGGGAAGGCTGAGAAACCTGGGAAGGATGCCCACTTCCAGAAGAGAAGACTGGAAGGAGGTAAAGTAAAAGATAAGAGATAAATGGTAGATGCCAAGGTGAAAGAATTCAGCTGCCATTGACACCTGCTGAGGACAAGAGGAGTCGTCACAGACTTAGAAGTGCATTAAGGGAGCCTTAAACTTAGGAACAAATTTTCATAGAATCATAGAATCCCAAGCTGGAAGAGACCACAAGGATCATCTGGTCCAACCTCTTGAGGTAAAATTATAGTTTAAATGGGATGGGTCAGCATCCCGTCAAGCTGCCTCTTCAAATTATCCAATGTAGAGGAATTTACCACTTCCCCTGGGAGATTATACCAACATCTCATTGATAGATTCTTCCAACATCTCATTGATAGATTGTTCCGTCTCATTGATAGATTGTTCCAACGTCTCATTGATAGATTATTCCAACCTCTCATTGATAGATTGTTCCAACCTCTCATTGATAGTTTATTCCAATATCTCACTGTTAAATTATTCCAATGTCTGATTGATCTCATGGTAAAAAAATTTCTCCTGGAGTTCAATCAGAATCTCCCCAGACACAACTTGTGTCCATTACCCCTCATTTTCTCCATGTGATTCCTTGTTCAAGGGAGTCTCCATCCTCTTGGTGCCACCCTTTATGCACTGGTACCTGGTGATAAGGTCCCCCCTGAGCCTTCTCTTCCCAAGGCTGAACAGGCCCAGCTTTCTCAGCTCTTCCAGTCCTCTGAGCATCCTCGTGGCTCTGCTCTGGACCCTTTCCAACCTGTCCACATCTTTTTTGGATAGTGGGGACCAAAATTGGACACAGTGCTCAAGGTGTGGTCTGACCAGTGCCGAGTAGAGAGGGATAATGACTTCTTGATCTCTGCTGGTGATGCCCTTTTTAATGCAACCCAGCACCCTGCTGGTTTCTTTACAGCTGCAGCAGCATTTTAATGGTGTAGCTGCTGAATTTTGTGGACCACTGCTGGTTTCCCAAGGATTCAGCTGGATTCTCAGAGTTGAGCCACACGTTCAGCTCTGTCAGGCTTAGCCGAAGCTGCCGCCTTTAACCCATTTTGAAACGATTGCTTTTGAATGCAAAGAGAAAACCATTGGTCAATGAAAATGCAAAACACCTTGAGCTGTCAAGACTTGAAAACAACATCCTGTTTATGGGAACAGCTAAGCCAGTCCCATCCAAAAATGCATGTTCTACAGGTGCTATTAGCCCTGCTGTGTTTGTCTCTGCTAACGTACTATTAATATTATAAAGATAACACACTTTGCATGCATAAAACAGTAATGAATATTTCTGAAGTGTTTTGACATTCCTCATTGTGTTGAAACCCCACCTCACTGCTCTCTAATTGTGGGGATTGTTTTCCCCATACTCTCACAAAAGAGAAGTTATCCAAAAAAACAAACCCCAGATTCATAGCTCACTGTAGAGGTTAACCCCATTGGTGACTTCTGAAGCAATTTCTGATCGTACCCTTCTTTCTTAAAAAAAGTGTCCAGAGAAATGGAAACCCCTGTTTCTATGCCACTTTGCCAAATACCCCAAACTGGAAATTCATTTACACCTCCCAGTCTTCCTTGTAGGAAGAGAAGACAGCAGGGTTGCAGTTGAATTTCTAGAAGTTAGGAAGCTTTCTGCCCAAAACCACTTCTGGAAATGAGAATGGAAGCACAACACTAAAATATCTTCTGCTTTTTAATAGTACGTGCCCTGTGGAGCTCGCTTAGCTGGGGACTCCTGTGCTGGACCTCTTTTGGGCAGTTGTTGCATGAGAAGGCTGTACAAGGTAAGACCCAAAGGAGAAAGCCCGGCCTGCCGCTGACTTTCATGGCCACAAGGATGCAGCACCGCTTCACATCACCTTTTGGGCCACCACGTCCTTGTTTTGCAGAGCTGGTGACCTCTCCAGGAGCAGATCCCACCCGGATCCATCTGGTGAGGAAGAGCAGGGTCTGCTGCCACAGAAGCTGAGGGGAGAAGGAGCCTGGGATGAGTGAGGACAGAGAGGAGCTGTGCTTTATGGAGACTTGATACAAGGAAGGGATGGATCCCATGGGAAGCAATCAGGACAGAGCTACCTGCTCAGGCCTTTCCTCCCTTTTTCTTTTAATTCCCCAGGGTTAGTGGTTTACCAGAAGTCTGGGGGCATGGTGATGTTGAGTTGATGGTTGGACTTGATCTTAGGGCTCTTTTCGCACCTTAATGATTCTGTGAAGTTAAAATGAATTTTCTCTCCTCATGAGAAGCAAGGCTCCTCTTAAACTTGGAAGACTGCTGGTGGCATCAGTCTCAGTTTTTACAGGCAAATCTGTTACTTTATTAGCAAAGGGAAATCCTTCTTGGTCTGTTGGGGGGCTACAGAGGAAGCCAAGGACAGAGGACGAGGTTTTCCTGCTGGGGTTTGCCCAGGCTGAGCAAGACAGGGCAGGGAAGCAGAGACAGGAGGAGCTGCTGGATCTCCCACTGCACCTTTAGGTGGTGGTAGAGACCTGCTGCACCTCCTGGGAGAGGGAAAGCGTGTGGAGAAACCTGCTTGGGGATTTTGCCCTTTATGGATCTGCACCTGGGAAATCAAAGTGTTGACCAAGCACGATGACTGCCTCCTGCTGTCTATGAAAATGTTATAGTCAAGGAACAGCTGGAGTTGAAAGTTAATTTGTCCAGTAGTGGGCATTAGAAACAGTGTTTAAAAATGGAAAATAAATCAGACAGAGAGCAGGAATCCAGCTGCAACCTGAGATTTAATATAACTGGTATAATCAGTGAATATAATTGATCCGGTAACAGCAAAAATTTCTCGGGTTGTGAATACACTGTAACAGAGTTGTACCAATGTGAAGTTCAAAGCACCTGCTCAGTTACTTCTCACTGACATCTTTTCTGTTGCAGGAACAAGTGTTGTTACAAACGGAAGGCAATGCGCTCTACGGGTTGGATATGGATACAATAAGGGGTAAAATAAGGCCAAAGCTTCTCTGGGGGTTAGGAATGGGAAAAGGAGGAGAAAAATAACTGCACACCTCAACTACATAGCTTGCTGCTTTCACAACTACTCCTCTAGCACAGCCATTTAGAGGAA